ACAGTAAGAGTAAAGAAAAATAATAATAGGCTGTGAAACAGAGACATATTGAGAAGTAAAAAACGCATACATCAGAGTAGAAGGACGAGAGTGACAGAGAGGCTGAAAAAGAGATGAAGGCAATACTGTGGCAGTTAATGGAGAAAGAGCATGAATAAATGACAAAGAAAGAGGTAGACAAATTCAGAGCGAGAAGAAATGAGGTGGAGAGAGAATGAAAAAGAGGTATAGTGTGAATAAATGAGGAAGAAATATGAGGAAGTGAAGACAGTGAGAGAGAGAAAGAGAGCGAGAGTGCATCCCAAAACTAGGTCACGCCTCGCAATCAACGACAAAGCTGAGCGTTTCAAAAATAACGAAGCCACAAGGTGGAAGTGATGCTAACTAGCATATCCAGGGGAAACGTGTAATATTTACACCATGTTAATGGTGCTGGGATCTTTTCATCTTGGAGCGGACCGATGAGGCGGTTGATAGGATTGGAGGCAAAATTACAGACTCCACTGAAGACTGTTTGTGATTGATGGACAATTCATTTAAGCTCCTCGTCAAGGCTTCTACCAGCCACTGTTTGTTAAGGGTGTGAATGGGGAAGAACTGCTTGTGTGCCTTGCACCCTTAACTGTCCAGTCATTAGAGAGAAAAATGATCTTGTCATGATGAAAATAAAAAGACTTCATTTTGAATGCTAAGAAAATAACTGTCTTGGAAACAAAACACAGCAATGTTTGCCATAACTTTGTTGGCATTACCTAATGAAATATATAAAAAAACAGCATATGATTTATTGCTATTGCTAATCTTAATAACTACACTACAACTCTAGTATATTCATAAAATATTTTATCACAAGCTTGTCTCACAGGGCTTTAACAGTGATGGAAGGTAACTCAGTACATTTGCTCAAGTACCTGTTTCTTAGAGTCCACTTTTCCCGATAGCTGTAGCTACTTGTAGCTGAATTTAAAAAGGCAACAAGTTTTAAGTAGTTTTACCCAATCAACATTTAAGAAACCCACTGCAATATCTGTAAGTGTAAAAAAAACATACAGCATCACCTTAAAGAACAGCTACAACAAACTTTAAGAACTTTTCAATGTATAAAAAGGAATCTATAAGCAGAATGTGTAATACTTGTGACTTTAAACGCCTATGCCAGTACACCAAGTCTCTAAAAATAATTCTCTCACTGAGCAGAATTAATAAGCCCAGAACAGTACACAGTCATTCTGTGAAGAAAGGGGTGTGGTGGGGTGGGGGTTCATGCAATATGTATGCCTGTTTGAGCGCCCTCTTCCTCATCTTCCCCCTCTTCATCTCTCTCTCTCCCTCGTCCTCTACTCAATTAAGCTGTAGGAGAGACCTAACAAACCTCAACCTGAGACAGTGCCACTGAATTTTGATGTTGCCCAACTTGTCACTGCTGGTTCAAAGCCAGACGAGAGAATGAAACAGAAACAGAAAGACACTCTTGTGTGCGCACAAACATATAGACACATTTAAAAACTGAGAAGGAATGAAAGACAGAGTGGAGAAGAGGCAAAAATGAAAGAAAGAAAGAAAGAAAGAAAAGCTACAGTGAATTTTCAGAGTTGTATGGGAGGACAGGAGAGAAAGAGAGAGAGGAGAGAATACAGCAACAATTCTGGTGTTGCACCACGCCCCTAGCAAACAATGAACATGGGCAAACAATGAACATGGTGCATACACACACGAGCACACATACACAAACACACACTAGAGAAGCCCATAAAAGGCGCAGCCTGTGGTCATGGCGACACATGCTCTGTTGTCGTTAGATAAGGGAAACAGGGCCTCTTCCTGGGTGTGAGAGTTTGATCCTACACACAAACTACACACTATACCCACACACACACAAACACACACTTGACTACAGCTGCACTGGGGTCATATCCACCAGCACAAAACTTTTTATGTATCCTCACCTTTATCGGATGCATGGTTCATTTTCATATGCAAAACCTTGGCTATGTTTATCTGGACACAATACGCTCTGGTCAGGGGACCACACAGACGGCATGATCAGATACTGAGCAGATACAAGAAACATGTCCTACATCTCTCAGTGGGACTTTGATGGAATTCTGCTTGGAATTCACTGGACCCGTGCCATCCTAAATCTATTTTGTTAGAAGAATTGGAAACATATATCATTATAGTGCCACATTTCCTCTAGGGACTCTTTCAAAAGTGCAAAAAGACAGCTGGCATTACCTCTGCAGCTGATGATGTTAAAGAAACATTTAGTTTTAGTGACGGTGCAATCCATCAGCTCACATCTAATGAACACCAGCTCTGTTTGTTATGGTTTGGTCTAAAGCATTCCACAGTGAAAAAATAAAGATACAAACAAACACTCTTTGCTTGAGAACGAAGACAAAACAGGTTCCAGCTCCACCTATGCGCTGTGATGTGTAAAAATGAAAAGGCAGACACAAGCTCTCATTCATCCACTTTCTGTTGCAGTAGAGCAACAGAGACTGAAATCAACAGTCAAGAGTAGAGATGGTGATAGAATAGAAGGGAGACTGAGGAAAAAGGCTGGGTGTGTGTGTCTGTGAAGGCCGGGCAGGGCGGGACTAAATAATGTTTTGTTTCCACCGTGAACCCAGGTGAGTGACATGATCCTTGTTGACAGTCTGCTAGTGTCAACAGAGACAACTACGCATGCACAGAGATCTTGTGCATGCGTAGTTGTCTTGCTTTACTTCAGACCACAAATGTATGCTTCAGACGCTGTAAAACATTATGGTCATTTGAAGTTTTTGGGGTAATATATACACTGGTCTGGTGGTTCGTAATAAAGAAATATGTCACAGAGTGCAGCGGTGTGTTTTACTGATGTGTTTTTAATCATTTTTGAACAACAACAGAGGTCAATGGCACAGACGAATAAGCTAATCCAGGTTGGAGACTGACAGACATTAATGGTTGAGTAGAGGCAGTTTACTGTGGCTGTAAAAATCCTACATGATTTGAGTGAAAAAGAAAATTCAATCAGGTTTTAGAGAACAAAATAGCACAGAGTCTGTGATTATTAGATTACTAAATTATCTCATTTAGACCGCTGAGTCAAGTGAATGTTTTGATATTGCTTCATCTGACAACAGTCTTTAAAACTGTTGATCAGACTCTTCTGATAAGTTACTCCACCACTGGGTTGCTTTTCCTTAGATGCCCTTAAAGTGATTTTCCTCATACTTATCAAAACAAAACCATGTTTCATCTCCCTGACTGGTACAGTTTGGAGTGCCCCAAGTGTCCATCCTGGGGCCAAGTTTATTCTCTCTTTATGCCCTATGCTACTTCTCAGCCACATAATTTGTTGACACAACATTCCTTTCCAGGTTTATGCAGATAATACCCAGTTGTATGTACCAGAAAAATCTGAAAACCCTACTAGCCTGCCCATATTAGAGGACGTCTAATCAACATTAAAACTTTGGTGTCCACAAATTGTCTGCAATTAAATTTAGAGAAAACCGAAATCCTTCTATTTGGCTCTGACAATTAGCATGCACTAATACTGTCGTAAATTGCTTTTTTCCCTGTTTTTGCTGGTTGAATTCTAAGAATCAGATATATGTTTGTACTATTTAAAACCTATGCAGGTGCAAAGCTTGTCTATCTAGTAGATCTGAGTGACACATGGCTGCACTCTCTCACAGGTACAGTACAGGTACTGTATGCCATCACATAACTCAACTGTGCATTATCAGTATAATCAGTAACTACAGCAAAGTGTGAAAGTGGTCATAACCATGGAGTGCGCCACATGTGAGTGCATATACAAAGGAATAACAGAAAAAAGATGCTAGACCAAAGTGCCACCCACACAGCCTATCTCATCCTGCTGCGGTGACCTTCAACGACCTGCCTGCTAACCAGTGCAGGGAAATACCTTTTTAGCATCAAGGACAGTAACGTCATATGCAACTAGCAGCTAGCCTCAGCAGGTGCACTAGTGCTATACTTAACGACATGGGAACTATTAGGAGGAAAGTAGTTATCCCACCAGTCTACCTGAGACATAGTGTCTGGGGTAAGAGTGCGTGCGTATATATTTATACATTTGTGTGTATAATATGTGTCTGTACAGTATGCACATGTATCTACATGAGACTATGTGAGTGAGGTTTCTCTGGCAGCAGGAGAGTATGCAGAGCACAAGCCACTGTTAACTGACTGGGGTAAACAGCGATGAGAGAAGATAAAGGGCAGAGTGAATGTCACATTACCCCAGCCCTTTGCCTCTGCTCACCGAAACATCAGATAACTGCAGCAGGAAAAGAAAAGTCTGGTTTCCAATAATTGGTTATCTTTTTGCAATCGGCTGCTCTCTTGCCTCTGCACAGAATAAAGTATGAAAAAGAAAAGGAAGAAGAAGAAAAAGGCTGAAGTTTGACTGTTCTGGCAGTAACTAAAATAAATCATTACAAGTACAGCAAACTTTCTCTCACTCTCACTCTCTCTCTCTCTCTCTCTCTCTCTCTCTCTCTCTCTCTCTCTATACATACTATATGTATACATACATGTATATATATTCATGGGTGTATCAACATATCATAGAATTAAACATGTGGCATAGAACATGCAGTTGTAGAAGGTAGCGAGGAAGTGTTACACTTGTGAAATCACCATTGCTGATAATCAGGTTGTGGTGTGTTCACTTTCAAACAGCAAACAATTACAGTGCTGTTAATACATGCACACACAATGTATTAACATAAAACCACTTTACAGTTTTACAGTTTACTAAACAGGGAAGTGTGCTACATAACAAACAATATATGAGCCCAGTAGAATATCAGTCGTAATAAAAGATAAGAAGTTCTCAGGAAGTAACATTGCAACATCTCAGTCTAATAGCAGGTTGAATGAAGAAATCTATGTCATATTTTTTGCATTTTTTGTTGCTTCTCTGTAAAATAATGGTGGTTTACCATAATGTGTTCATTTATCAGCATTAACGATTAACTTTAGGAGTGTCAAAGGTGCTTTTGGATTAGGACTTAATTTGTTTCTACAAATGCCCACACACGTGTGACCTGATAATAACAACTACATGGATGTAATTCACACCTTTGCATGTTTTCACACATAACATAACTTGCCACACTTAAGAAATCCTTAAACTCGTCGGTAGGTTACAGTAGCTGTGCCTGATTTTGTACACAAATGCAAGCAACATTTACACTGTCTGGTGCAATGTGTTCTTATAAGTATGGATATAACATACACAATCTGTGCATTTAGATGTTCTTTGGGAATTTGATGAATTTAAACTTAAGTATCCCCAGTTTGCACACTACAAAATACCACCAGACTCAGGTCAGAGCTAGCACACAGAAACTGGGGGCTCATAGCTACTGTATCTCACCAAAGCAGTGGGCAGTCTTTTCCTAGCTTGACTGATGCCTGGAGGGGGGGCAGTGTGGAGCCTAACCCCTCGTTCACCCACACTGAACTGGGCCTGTGGTTAGAGAGAGAGAGGTGGCAGGAAGAGAAAGAGAGAGACAGAGAAGACAAAAGTGGGGAAGGAAACGAGATGGCGGGGCTTTAGTTTGCAAGGTACAAGCAGGGCATTTGTAAAGGAACATGAGAGGGGGCCCCCCCTCCCTCTGGAACCTTTCCCTTCTTCTCCCTTCCTCTGGTTGCTCTGCTCTGCCCCTCATACCCAGCACACACGTGCAGGGGGAGGAGTAATGACATGAGACTTACACAGTGACTCTAAGCAGTACCGTGCTAGGAAAAGAATGGAGGTTAATGAGCTGACATTGCCTCCACCCAGAACACGCCTCCTCCCCATACCCACGTCCTTTCTCTCTTACACACACTGACAAGCATATACACAAACCCCCAGTGGGGCTAAATGCTGGCACTGAGCCAAGCATCTGGAGACTAACGGAGCAATGCATGAATTTACACTGTCTGTATGTACAGTGCACACAGTTCAATGATCCTTTGGCTGTTAATAACTGAGGGCAATCTAATATAACCAACATTATAAATACAACCATCTAAACATCTAATGCAAACATCTAACATCTAATGTAATATAAAAATATATAACATGGTAAACGTCAGTAAAATACAGATTTTAGGGATATATCAACCATATGAGGCTGTAATGATGATTACACTACAGAATTTGGATGTTTGAAAAACCGTCTTGCAGAAATGTAGTGAAATCTTGCAGTTTTAGGACCTCTCATATACTAAGGCTGTCTGAAAATGATTTTTTGAGGTATCCTGTCGACAACTGAAGTGAACGTTTAACCTGCTGGTGGCACTAGATAACAAATCAAGGAAACACCATTAGAATTCATCCCTTGGAGACTAGGAATTTGTGTTCCAAATATCCATCCACTGAATATTTCACAGCAAACCAAAATGTTTTCCAAAATGGCTGACACAGACAGATGGATAGACCTAATGACACTGTCAACCTTAATGTCCTGCTGCTAGCATGGCTGAAAAAACAGTTCGACTGGAAGCATCAGCATCTTAACAAACACTGCACAGCTATACACAACTGTTGATTTGTTAAGGGCAAACAGCTCTTGTTCCCAGACCACAGACCATGAACTAAGCACATCATGCTATTGTAGTGCATACAGCCATGTGAATAACAAGTGAAACCTTCAGATGCTCTCCCGTTTCTTGGTTATCACGTGGTGATGTGTGGGTGTACAAGATGTTAAATAAAACCTCAGTGGCCTTTAAGTTGCATCACCAGAAAACCAACATGTAGAGGTGATATTTTCAACTGATACAAGGTTATCTGAATGTGCACAGGCATAAATAAAAGCCACACAGGTTAAAAAACAACTGTGGAGCTTCAAGAAAACCTTTAGAAACCTTTCAGAAGAGGAAAACTTAACTGAATGCAAATTCATGTAAACAAATTTGCATGAACCTACATAAGGTTAAAAAACAGATGCAGGTGCACTCAACACTGACATACTGTAAGTCTGACCTATTTGTTTGCCTATGAAACATCCCAAGACTGCTGGTATGATTCATATGGCTCCACCCTAGCCACACTGTAGCTTGTTTTTGACACTCTCCACACCCCTTCTTCACAGCCCAGATGCCGCTGTGTAAGCTACAACCTTCCAAAGTTTATAATGGAAGCTATCCTGCTGATCTGCCTTAATTACCTCAAACAAAATGAGTAAAAATGAGGGTAACAATAACATCCTTCATAAAATAATTGAACATTGCCAAAGGCTGAAATAGAACTGATAATGGTGCAACAAAACACATTCGCAGAGCTTGAAAACAATGGAAGATGGATGGATAGTCATTAGCGCCCATTGTGAATCTTTCGGGTGAGTAATTTGTGGGAAGGCTTGTGCATTTTTAATATTCTTAAATTGAACAGCCCTAAGAACACAAACTCCATAAAATTATAACAGGCATTTCACCTTAGCACTATCTGAGCCTCTCAATTATTTACCACTAATGAATTGCCTTGGGCAATATTCTTCCTAAGTACAATATCAACCATCCCAGAGAGGCTGAATGAGAGCGCTCAAATACTTAAATACATTTACTCAATTATGCTGCCTGTCCCTAATATGAAAGAGACAAGAATGTACAAGCTTTCTTTTTCTCTCTTGCTCAGATGAAGCCTTGATATTTCAAGAAAATCCTCATCTACTCTTATAGTGATTAATTTATTAACATTTTTACTGATAAGAGCAGTGACAATGCTTGTGACTTTTCCTTTGTCTTTGTATCTGTGGTGTAGGTGGATAAAATATGTTTGCTGTTGTTTTGGTGTCTAGCCTTACTAACATAACAGAATTGCAGGCCAGTTACCAGGCATCCAACAGCTTTTGCACTTTGCAGTCCATCATGCCACCTAAAATTGTTGTTGTTGCCACATGGCTGATGATCGTTCAGGGTCCCCAGGGGAGCCTGAGAGAAGAATGTAGTGCATTACACCACCAGCTTCTAAGACAGGTAACTATCCGGTGGGAAAGGATGGAAATGAGCAGAAAGAGTACAGTATGACAGCCAAGTAACATAATATCAATGTGGTGTATTGTGCAAGTAATGAAGCTATCGTGCTCCAAACACAGAGTGGCTGCAATGCCAATATCGTCTATAGATACTTCAAAAGTCTCTGCAGGAAACTGTGGAATAACCTTCGGTATTTAAACTCCTAACCCAAGTGAATTTAAATAGATTCTACCATCTGTGAGATGCATCTATAGGGGACGACGTCATTCTGTGAAAAAAGTGTGCATCTGTGTGTTTGTGTGGTTTAGTCTGCCAATTGTGCTTTAGCCACATTTGATTATACTCTTATTTGTCTTTTCCAAAATCAAAAATACACACAGACAAAATCCCTTTCTCTGTAATTTATTAGTTAACGTCCTCCCTTGTCTCTGCCCTGTGCCGTTTGGACATGAAAAACTAATGCTGTTTTGTTCAAGAGCTGGCTCATTTGAAGAAATCTTCTCATACATTTTGTTTAGACATAAACAATGAACAATATGAATTAAAGGTAAGTGTCAGCACAGCATCTAAATGTAATGTAAGTCCTGCTGCAGTCTTAAGATTAAGTCTCTTTTTTTTGTTTATACTGTATGTCAGTGTGCTTGAGCATGTGCAAGTGTTTATAAATGTGCATATTTTATATCTGCAGTCTAAGTAACAAACAGAGCTTTTAGTTCTTCTTAGGATAAACACTGTTATCACCATTCAAAAATTTCACAACCATGAGTCCTTGACTGTGTAACAGAACAGTTTGGGCCAGACAGTTCCATACTATCCAGATGTAATCATCAGTCTTTGGCTGTAACTACACCAGACAGAAATTAAAGTGCAAAGGATCCAGTTCCTAAACAGCTGGTAGCTGTAAATTCCTATGAGGGAATAAAAAACAAGGAAGGAGGGGGGAGAGTTTGAAAGAAAACATATACTATTTTCATTTCAGCTGCTTTAGGGATTAAGGTTCAGGGCACTGGAAAAAACTGAATTAAAATAATCCACCATTTGCATGTTTTATCTCACAAAGGAAGCTCACTCAACACACACCAACCCCTACTCTCCCTCCCTCCCTTCTTCCCCTTCTTCCCATCCCCCACTCGGATTGAGCACACACACACACACACACACACACACACGCTTATATGCACGTCACACAGATACACATTGTCATCATTAAACACGCACACACACACACACACACACAAACCGAGATCAACCTGCTGCCATCTGCTCTGTGCACGCTCTACAATCCTCACAGAATACATTAGTTACTACAATACATCACATCACATTCCCTCAATGTCATAGCCTTGTGCTGGAGAAGAGTGGGGGGGATGGAAGAGAGTTGAGAGCAAAACAACTATTGTACTCTGAAGAGAGAAAGAGAGAGAGAGAGAAAGAGAGAGAGAGAGTGGAGATCTGGCCTGTTTCATGGTACAGTGGTAGAGAAAATTAAAGCCAGTTTGATTTGGCTTTTAAGTGAAACAAGTGTGTCAGCAAAACTTGCTCCAGTTGCAGCTACCAGGCTATATTAAAAATCCCTTCATGGAAGCTAATGTATGAAAGTGAATGATAACAGTTCCTCAGAAAGAGAAAGAGAAAGAGAGACAACAAAATATTCACAGTTTTTTTTTAAGTCTTTAAATTGTGTTACCAGTGCTACCAAGGGTTAAAGAACACAGCCCACAATAGTTGAAATTTTTCTTATTGTAAGGAAATCCCATGAAAAGACCATTAGACCACTGGAAACATAAAAAAATCTATTATTATTCTTAGTTATTATCATTTGAATCAATAATCAGCATCTTGATAAAATGGACTGAATTGCTGGGTATATGAAATGGGTCAAGCTGACAGAGAATTACCACCAAACTCTTCTCTAGCTCATTGTTTTGGCTTTACAGTTCACTACTTCACTGCCCTCACTGCCACACTCATCAGCATCTTTTTCAGATGCAGCAGACAACAACATCTTTTTCAGATGCAGCAGACAACAAACACAATGACTGCTCTGACAGACCCGGTGTGCGCCACCTTCCCAGCACCAAAAAAACAGACAAAGTTAGCAGCTAGCTGCTGAGCAATGTTGAGCACTTATTAAGAGCCAGATGTTTTTTGTCAGGAGGTGGTGGAGAGAAACACAGAGCTAAAAGGTGAAGTTACATTTGCCAGGTGGTGCGCAATTACAGCACCAATATGGGGTGGCTTAACAGTTTTTATCATCGTTAGAAATTAATGTACTGTTTGTGCGTCACTGAACTGAATTTAAAAAGGATAAATATATTAAAAGTAGCATAGATTGCTTTTTGCATTTGTTGACATATTTAACTTTGTTGCTGCTATTTCACGAGTGCAAAGCATGTGCGTGTGTGTGATTGTGTGTCCCCCCCACTGTGTGGGGGCTGGGCAGAGGGAGCGAGCAGCTGGCAGGCCCACACTTGACTACATATTGACCTGCTTTGCATTCAC